GGTAAGGCGTTCTTCTTTACCAAACGCGCCATTGACTTCTCACTCATGTGGCCAAGACGTCTATGCCACAACTTGATATTGCTATCATTCTCCGCAACATTTATAACTTGTTGGGAGATGCTCGCCTGGGTCACGTACAACTTTGACTGCTTCGTGCCCCGCGCCACCACCAATGAGCCCTTCGTGAGCTTCCATTGGCCATTATGGAAGGTATTGCAGTAACCTTCCTCATCGAGCTTGTCTACGGAGATCAGATTCAGGCGCATATCTGGAACATGCCTGACATCTCTTAAAAGTAGCTTCATCCCATTCATGGTCTCTAGGCAAACATCACCTTTGCCTACAACTGTTGAGAAATTGGCATTTCCCATCTTTACACGACCAAAGTCTCCAGGTGTGTAAGATGAGAAGAGTTCTCTCCGTGGCGTCGCATGAATGGTAGCCCCACTATCAATCACCCAGGTCATCTCTTGGGTTGTCAGATTGATAATGTCGTCATCGTAGACAACGTTGAACTCACCAAAGGAGTTCGTTTCATCATCACTGCTTTCTTCGGGCTTCACCTTTTTGCCTTTGTTCTTCTTCTGGTCATTCTGGAACTGTCGGCAAAATCTTTTGATATGCCCCTTCTTTTTGCAGTAATGGCACTCAACATTTGCAAATTTGTTGGATTTACCTCTGCTCTTATCTCTGTTACTCTGGCTCTTATTTTGACTTCTCCCCCTGGTCGTAACAGCCAACACCTCTGACTGTGAAGAAGATGTTCCTTGTGATCGGCGTCTCATTTCTTCATTCAGAATGCCACTCTTGACTGTCTCCATGTTTACCACACCGTTGGGTGCAGAATTGGTGATTGAAACCTTCAAGGTTTCCCATGACTCTGGGAGTGTTGCCAGCACCATAAGAGCAAGTACCTCGTCATCGAACTTTATGCCCATTCCCGACAACTGGTCGACAATCCCTTGTATTTCATTAAGGTGATCTGCCACAGTTGTCCCTTCTACATATTTTACTTGCATTAATTTTGTCAAGTAAAATAATTTGTTGTTACCTGTTTTAGAGGCATACAACTCTTCGAGCTTGTCCCATAACGACCTTGCATGTGTCACACCAGAAATGTGGTTGTACACATTGTCTTCAACAAATTGCCGTATGTAGCCGCACACTTGGTTGTGCTCAAATTCCCAGTCCTCGTCTGACTTATCTTCAGGTTTCTGAGAACTGAACACCGGCAGGTGCATCTTTGTCACGAACAGGAGATCCTTCATCTTGTTTCTCCATAAGTGATAATTTGTGCCATTCAGGTTGACCATCTTGCTTGTCCTCGCCTCCATTTAGATCAGAATTTGACAGACTTCTGCAATCTAAAAAAAATTCCGACGGTGAATAGTAACTGTGGATATGAATAGTGCCTGTATGGATGAATAGTACTCGTACGTATGAATAGTACTCTAACCAAAGCTCTGATGCCACTTGTTAGGACCCGGTGGCACTAAACATTACTGCACAGCGGAATAAAATAAATGATCAACGAAACCAAAAATAAATGACACAATATTTAACGTGGTTCACCTAAAACGTTTAGGCTACGTCCACAAATCCGACACCAACTTCCACTAAAACATTTAGCAGGCATACAAAGAGAGACTTCCCCAATAATTTGGAGGTACAACAATTCCTGAGCTCTACCCAAAATAGTGGCGCACACAAAAGTGTTTCCCGAAAAATACCCGACTAGTATTTTACTCACTATTTTGTCACTCCCCTGTTAGGAAACATTCCTAAAGGAACTATATCTCTCTCCCTCTCAAACTCTTTCTTCTTGTGTTTTGATATATTTTTTTTTTGGTGTGTTATACAATGAAATGGAAGGGGGTATTTATAGTTTTGAGATAGGGACCAAAAGTGCAAATCTCACCTACCAAGAAGGATCAATTTGCAATATTCTCATCTCACCTACCACTCATTGCATCATTGCTTATCTCACTAAGGAGAGTTGCATCATTGCTTACCTCTCCCATACATCACCATAATTGTTGGAAAAACTAACATTTAGGACATATCCCTTAGCTCATGTAAAAAACTCGCGCGGAACAATTTGAGCAACCTATGTAGCTTAAATTAACCGATAACAAACTTATTGAAACGTTAAAAAAAGTTGGGTTTGGTTGGTTAAATAGCCCTTCATATTTCTTTGTTTGTCCTGTCAGATAGAAAGAAAATTAGACCCCAAAGAGCCCTTCTTTACTTTACTATTTTAGGGGGTGGGGGTGAAGGGGGGGTTTACATAGAACCGAGACAAAGTGGTTTATAATTGAATCTCAGAGGCATTCTTATCATTACACTATTGTGGTAGCCGAAACGGCAGATTCCCCTGCTACATTACAATACCCAGTGGCGGAGGCAGGATCTCCATGAAGGGGGTTCAAAAAAAAAAATTTAGCTAGTGGGAATTAAACCCATGACCTTATGTAGATTTTGAACCCCCTTGACCACTAAACTACACTTTTGGATTGTGTTAAGGGGGTTCAAAAATTAATATATAGAGGTAAAAAACAGATTTTGCCTTATATATCAGTGTAATTTTTCGGCGAAGGGGGTTCGGGTGAACCCCCTTGCGCCCCCCTAAATCCGCCCCTAACAATACCTTGCTCCTTATACAGGAGCAGCTCTGGCTGAATTTTATGTATCGTGAACGACACACTTTAATCATTTATGATGATCCCTCCAAACAAGCGCAAGCTTATCGCCAAATGTCTCTTCTATTACGAAGACCACCCGGTCGTGATCCATGATAAATGAAATAAAAAGTTTTTGTTAGTTTGACTTGAAAATTAAACAAATTATGAAAGAACAATCAAAAAAATATAAAAATGACATTAAGAAGACTGGGTTTAGTTATGACCTATTGTTTAATTCAAATTGATTCACTCATCATGACTCAAACTAATTTTGTTTAGGCTTTGATCCAATTAATTTATTAGTTCAACTCATCTTAACCTGCCCAAACTTAATTGAATCTGCCAATTTGACACCCATAACCAGAAAAGACACTTCAATATCAGAATTACTATAGTTGAATAGAGTTTTGCAGAGCATGAAAATTGCTTAACAATTGAAGAAAACTTGGTAGAGTTATGAATTGGTCAGAAATTCAAAAATAGCCAGATTTACAAGTGATAATTAAAAAATAATCATACTTTCAAAAGTAATCGAAATTTAGCCACTTTTTATGTAAAGAAAATCTAAACAAAAACAGTGTTCAAAGTTCGAAAAATATTCCAGTATAATATACTGGAGTTCCAGTATAATATACTTGTACAACATAATATGCTGGAAGTTCATAGACATGTGCTTCAATCTCCAGTATGTTGGATTTCCAGCATAATATGTTGTAAGTTCATACACAGGAACACCAATCTTCAATATATTATGCTGGAACTTTCCGTGTTGCAGTAAAATAGTGGCTATTTTTCAATGACTTTGCAAATGCTGACTATTTTTCAATTACCAGTCCGAAAACTGGCTAGCCCATGCTATTTTCACAGGGAAAACGCAACCTCGTTGAAACAATTTTTGGGAACTAATTCAATTGTTCTATCCTTGTAAATATATAACAATACAAAAAGAAATTCAAATAAATATAAAAGATCCTAGAATCATATACTAGTCAGACTATCAACATCCACCAATTTAGTTGAAATATAAGTGGTATACTATATGAATCTGTTCGAGGCAATTACCGATGGTCGGCAAGTTACTGGTTAAAATAATCTTTAGTCAATCGTCAGCAAATTATGAAATTGTAAGCACTGATGCAACATGAATAACGTATGCTTAGACAGCAGACACATCTGTATCAAAGTTGGAAAAAAATATAATCATAGAGGAATAACATAGTCTATTAAATATTTCCAATATAGTCAATTCTGGAGAAAATGACAAAAATAATCCCCTATATTTGAGAGTAGATTCAAAGTCGTCCTTTAAGTATGCATTGAACAGTTTTGCTTCTTTACCTTTGCTAAAAGTTGACAGTTTTATAGGCCAAGCTTTTAAATCATCTTATTTTGAAAAGTGCTTTTAAAAAAAATATTTTTGGTGAAAAGCAGTTTTTGTTTGGCTAATTATTTTAACAAGCACTTTTCAGCAACAATTAGTGTTTGGCTAAGCTTTTAAAAAGTACGTATAAGCGTATTTTTTTCAAAAGTACTTTTGGAGAGAATCTCTTTTTTTCTACTTTTCAAAAACTGCTTCTGCTTCTATTCAAAAGCGTTTTCTTCTAAAAACTTGGCCAAACACATCAACCTCGAAAAAAGTACTTTAAAAAAAAAGTATTTTTGGCCTCGGAGACGCTTGGCCAAATAGATTATAGTCTTTGTTAACTATAAACTTTGTCGGTTAGATTTGATAGGAACTATGAAAAAAATAAAATTAGCGGGAACTCACATTTAGAGGTACAATTTTTGCAGTTTTTGCTATTTTTGGTCTATTTTTAGAATTTGGTGCGGCTTTTTGAGGTGTAATTTTTGCTTATTTCGGGTTTTTTTTTTTTTTTGGTGTCGGGTGCATTTTTATGTTGCATTTATTAGGATTTGATGGGAGTTTCCTGCTATTTAAAGTTAAATATTTTTCCCAGTTCACGTTAAATTTAGCAGACAAAGTTTGTAAATATTTGACGGAGACCAAAAGTGTTAACTTTTGGCAAACTTAAAGGATGAAAACTGCTCAATAAATACTTAAAGGATTACTTTAAACCTACTCTCAAACGTAAAAGACCTTTTTTGTCAATTTCTCGTCAATTTCTGCTAATACATACAACATATACAGTCCTGAGTCCCGACTCTTCAACAAGAAAATCTTGATCTTAACTTATCTATTTAAGTCAAGTAGTTTAAAGTTGTTAATATGTCACTATCTATAGTCTTAAATTACTTGTCTATAGCTATGAAATTTCCAGGAAATTCCAATGAATAGATTCCAATGTTTCTCTTTTTTATAGCAACCTTAATAGCTAAATCCCTCGAATAGTCTTAATTTGTCAAAACAAAACAAAAATGTATGATAGTCCTCTCTTTTTTCTCCTAGAAATTCTATATGAGTCACTGAAGAACGAGGCCGAATTCCTGTTAAATGTTCCTAACCAAGTTCAAAATATTCGAGCTGAATTAAACCGAATACAATGCTTCTTACATGATGCAGACGCTAAAAAACCTGAATACGAGACAGTTCGGAATTGGATAGCAGATATCAGGGAAGTTGCTTATGATGTGGAGAATATTCTTGAGAAATATACACATAAAATTGTTTTGAGAAAAGATCGGTCGATATGGAAAGAGAATATAGCTTTACACAACATAGGCATGGAAACTAAGGATGTTATGTCAAGAATTGATAACATAAGAAGGTGCATGAAAACCTATGTTGATATTGGAATAAGAACTTTAGGTCAAGGAGAGTCCTCAAATTCTGCAGCATATGAGAAAAGTCAATGGCTAACAAGATCTTACTCTCATCTTATCGATGAAGATTTCGTTGGATTGGAAGAAGAGGTGAATAAATTGGTTGTTGAACTTATTAATGAAGAAAATGATGAATTTCATGGAGTTTTTGCCATATGTGGGATGGGAGGTATAGGCAAGACAACACTTGCCCGAAAAGCATACCGACACATTTATGTACAAGGTCATTTTCAAGCTTTTGCTTGGGCTAGTATATCGAAACAATGGCAAGCAAGAGATGTTCTGCAGAGAATTCTCACAAAACTTGAACCAGAGAACAGAACACAGATTAACATGATGATGGACGAAGAGCTCGTTAAGGAACTTTACAGACTTCAGCAGAGTAAAAAATGCTTGATAGTATTGGATGATATTTGGTCAACAAATTTCTGGAATAGTGCAAGACATGCTTTCCCTAAGGGGAAAGGGTGTAGCAAAATCTTGTTGACGACGCGCAAGAAGGACGTGTGTACACACGTAGATCCAACTTGTTTCTTCTTTGAGCCTAGATGTTTGGATGCTGAGGAGAGTTGGAAGTTACTTCATAGGAAAGCATTCCCTAGAGTAGACACTCCAGGTAATCTCCAATTCAATGAACTTGATTCAAATAATTTGCTCAAATAGGTGTGAAAAGTCAACAAACTTATTATCAAATTATACTTTTCCATTTCCAAAATATATAGATATAATAGCATACTGATAAGGGCAGCCTGGTGCAGAAGCATCTCGTGTTCACTCAGGGTCCGGGAAAGGGCTGCAACCCAAGGGGGTGTGATGTACGCAGCCTACCCTGATGCAAGCATCATTCCACGGCTCGAACTTGTGATCTATAGGTCACACGGACACAACTTGACCGTTGCTCCAATGCTCCCCTTCATATAATAGCATACTGATAAGCAACGCGAAAATTGAAAATTCCATCTTTTGTTGTATGCAGATTTGAAGATTGATTTGGAACTAGAGAGACTTGGAAAGGAAATGGTCAGTGAATGTGGAGGCTTGCCTTTAGCAATCATTGTGCTTGCTGGACTTTTAGCTCGAAGGCCTAAAGTAGACGAGTGGAGAAGGACGCGACAAAACCTTAACTCACACATGAGTGGTGAAAGTTTTGAACAAGATGGAGGAATTCATGGTGTCCTAGCTTTAAGTTATTATGATTTACCATATCAACTTAAGCCGTGTTTTTTGTACTTGGGAAACTTCCCGGAGGATCAAAAGATTTCTGCGCGAAGATTGTATCAGCTATGGGCCGCTGAAGGTATTATATCATTTGAAAATAACCAAGGAGAGGAGACAGAAATGATGGAGTTAGGAGAATATTTTCTGCAGGAGTTAGCTCAAAGGTACATGGTTCAGGTGCAACTAGAAGAAACAAATGGAAGGATCAAATCTTGTCGACTTCATGATCTGATGCGAGATACCTGTTTGTTAAAAGCAAAGGAGGAAAACTTTCTGAAGACAATTTCATATCAGCATTGTCATAAATCAATGTGTTGCTCTTCTTCAGCTAAAGCAATATCAACACGCGCCATACGCAGACTCTCTATCACTGTAGACAATGATGTTCAAAACTATTTCTCTACTAATGATAAGTCATTTCAGCATGTTAGATCAGCTATGTTCTTCCCCAGACGACAGACAGGAGGCGAAGGAACAGCATATCCCCTGCCTATATTTCAAGGTCTGTGCAATAACTTCACAATGTTGCGCGTTTTGCATCTTGAGAAGTTCACTTTTGAGGACAACTTACTCAAAGCAATTGGTAACTTTGTACACTTGAGATACCTGAGCTTAAGACAGTCACATTTTCAAAGGCTCCCATCTTCTATAGGTAATCTCAAGTACCTACAAACACTTGATTTGAGGGTGAATTTCTTCTCATACTTGACAATGCCGAATACTATACAGAAGCTGAAGAACTTGAGGAATTTATATCTTCCGCCTTCGCATCAGAACACATATAAGTTGCAGCTAAGTCCTTTAAGCCAATTGGATATGCTGAAGAACTTTGATACCCAAGTTTCTCCTTTTAGAGATCTCTTCAAGTTAACGAAACTTCAGAAACTAGCCGCTGTTTTCTCACTAGAGTTTGATGAGATGGAAGAAATCATCACACATTACCTCACCCTAAAAACTCTGAGTCTCATGGAAACATCATTCCGCGTTTACTACAGATTTCATTCAGAAAAAGAGTTAAACATTCTGAAGCTACTGATCGGTTGTCACCATCTCCGCAAATTAGACTTAATCGGACATATCAGTAAGCTACCAGAACACCATTTCTTTTCACAAAGCCTCACTAAGTTAACCTTGAGAAGGAGTGGACTTGAAGAAGACCCTATGCTTATTCTACAGAAGCTGCCTAAACTATTCACCCTTTCATTACGTGGAAGCGCGTTCATTGGCAAGGAAATGTGTTGTTCTTCACAAGGTTTTCCTCTCCTCAAAACTCTTCAAATCCAGGAGCTTCCAAATTTAGAAAGCTGGAGGGTGGAGATAGGAGCAATGCCCAATCTAATTCATCTTGAAATCGACTGTTGCAAGAAACTAGAGAAGGTTCCAGATGAATTGGTATGTCTAACTAAAATTCAGGAGATAATAATTATAGACATGCCAGAAACTTTCCAAACCAGGCTTCAAGAGATTCAAGGGGAAGAGTTTTACAAAGTTCGGTTCAGGAAATTTTTCGACATGAAGAAGTTTCCCAAGACTAAACCGAAAATGCTATTATCAGGTACTTAATTAGTCATACAGTCAGACCTCGTCAAACCACTTTATAACATCATCATTATATAACAATCATTCACTATAATAGCCAAATTTCTTTCGAACCGACTTTATGTTATGATATAATATATGTACTCTATAACAACACTTCACTATAGCAGCCAAAAAATATCAGAACAAACGAGGCTATTATCGTGAGGTTTGACTGTACTAGTTAAAACAAGCTGCATTCTGTTTTACTTGAATACTTAATCGCGTATTCTAAGAACCGAACTATACCTTTCTGTTGAGACTAGTGTGCTCCTATATCTCAACACTTGATGTATACATCTATTATATGTCGACTAAAACCAAGCTTATGGTGAATGCAGGACAAATATTTGGCGGATTATTGCAGACTATTTATCCATCAACGGTACCAAAGGAATGGAAGATGCCATAGATCTCACAGTGAAGATATTATCAACATGGTAAGTAAACTAGACATAAACTTGTCAATTTTTTCATCTCAAAGCAAATAAGACTTTGTGGTTAATTCCAACAAAAACATGATGCAGCAATATCTTGTACAATCTTATATGCTAAACATGCCTATCTCTGCTCCTAGGATATTCATTCTCTTTATTTCAGTAAACTACACCTTTGAATTTTAAGACATGCCATGTCTAACGCATTCAAAGTCACATTTTTTCGAGTTTAAGTTAATATATTATGCAGTCATTCCCACATATGCTTGTTTCATGGAACTCTTATTAGGGCGATCAAAATAATGACTGTTTACATTAGTTGTAAGGCTACATGATCAGAAAGGGAATTATTTGGACTGCTAAACTAAATATTAATAAAAGCTGGTTTTTCCATATCGATACGAGCTAACTTTTATCAACCAACATATTTCTCCATCTCAGTTTGTATGTATATGAGAGTTTATACTTGATTTCTAGCTGACATGTCAACCAACATATTTCTCTGTTTGTGATCTCAGTTTCTTTATTCAAGTCATGCACCTGTTGACGGTTGGCTTATTATGCATTTCGAGTAAGAGTGAAGAAAGCATGGCAAGTGGACAACTTTGAAATTTGAAGCAAAAGATGGAAAAACTCATGGGAAAGTTGAAGGCATTGGGTTCTACAATCAAGAATTTGTACCAGTGTGTACAGATGTTTGTTTGACTATGGAGGTATTGAGCCTTGTATCATGTTTGATAGTAACAGATAAGAGCTTACAATGGTAGAAAGCTCTTTTTGTAAGTTGTGAATTTTTGAACTTTTGTCAATATTGCTGCTAGTACTACTATATTACTCTGTTTTTTTTTTTTTTTTAAAAAGTCAGTGTTTGAATGTGTACAAAACTTAAGAAATATTGTTGAAACATGCTCAGGATATACAAACTAAAAGTATCTTTAGCATCTAGTGCTTTTCAACATATCTTATAAGAGCATCTTTCTCCAAAAAATTATAATAAGAACATGTCCTTAAAGGCATAATGAGATGTTAAAATTTAGAACGGATTAATAAAGGAAAGAAAATAAATCATATAAAATGGAACATATGGAGTATAATTACTGTTAATTGATGTTCCCCTTAAATTTGTCCCATTTTTCATTTAGAAACTTATTTTAAGCCTATGACTTATTGAATACCTTACTTATAAGCGGGGGCGGAGCCACACCGAACCCAGTAACTTTGGTCCAAATCCTATATTTGCCTTAAGAAATTCATTGAATATATACAAATTCTTAATTTAGAATCCAGTAACTTCAAAGAACTAGAATTTCGAACCCAATAACTTCAAATTATGGCTCCGCCTCTGCCTATAAGCAAGTTGTGTCCACTATACATAAGCGCTTACATGACAGATGACTTATTTCCCACACAAAATCGAGCTATATTATGACTTGTGTTATTAGTTAGTTAATCTGTATTTGTACGTATTGTTAGTTAGTTAATCTGTATTTGTACGTATTGTTAGTTAGTTAATCTGTATTTGTACGTATTGTTAGTTAGTTAATCTGTATTTGTACGTATTGTTAGTTAGTTAATCTGTATTTGTACGTATTGTTAGTTAGTTAATCTGTATTTGTACGTATTGTTAGTTAGTTAATCTGTATTTGTACGTATTGTTAGTTAGTTAATCTGTATTTGTACGTATTGTTAGTTAGTTAATCTGTATTTGTACGTATTGTTAGTTAGTTAATCTGTATTTGTACGTATTGTTAGTTAGTTAATTTGCTCTTGTACTGATAGTTTGTTAGTTAATAGTTGGTTAGCAGTTAGTTAGTTAGGGTGATGTGGCGGTGCCCTATTGGTTTAATTAATTAGTGAGTTAGTTAGTGGACCTTTGTATATAATCATCTACACTGCAGCTCATGAAATGAAACATTCATTCTATCTGAAAATGCTCTCTTCTTCTTCTCTCTAGAAGCTTCCTCCATTAGAGGACTTGCCGAGCTTATGATTTCAAGTGCAGATTAGCACTGTTTTTGGCATGGTATTAGAGCAGGAGCTACTGATAATTTGCGCAAGTTCATCAGTGTAATCTACAGCATCCTCGAGTCTATCAATAATTCATTTATTGAGTGTTTTCTTGAAATTAGATCTTACAATAGCAGAAACAACAATCTCCTATACACATCCATTATACCTTGGTCCATCCGACACTCCTGGCATTGTTCTAATCCCTATGAAGTTAACAGGATCAGAGAACTATGGTCTTTGGAGCAGGACGATGAAGATCGCATTATTGGGGAAGAGAAAGCTAGGGTTTGTGACTGGCGCCTGCTCAAAGGAGTCATGTAAGACAGAATTGCATGAACAGTTGGAAACGTGTAATGCAATTGTTCTCTCGTGGCTCATGAACATAGTGTCAATAGAACTCCTTAGTGGAATTGCATATGCTTCAAATGCTCATTTGGTCTGGGAAGATCTGAGAGAACGATTTGACAAGGTCAATCGCATGAGGATTTTTCAGATTCACAGAGCTATTGCTAATCTATATCAAGGTACATACTATGTCTCTACTTACTTCACCAAGTTGAAAGTTTTGTGGAATGAGTATGATGCCATGGTGCCTGCTTCTAATTCGAAAGAGTATGTTGAACATTTACAACAAAAAAGGTTGCTACAATTTCTAAGTGGTCTTAATGACTCGTATGATCAAGCTAGGAGATAAATTTTGCTAAAATCCAATGAGCCATCTCTTAATCAGGCATATTCTATGGTAATTGAAGATGAGTTTCAGTACTCATCTTCAAGTTTGAGCTCTTTGAATGAAAAAATCGATTCGATGGCAATGCAAGTTGGCAGGGGTCATGGTTACAGCGGAAAGAAACCCTTTATGCAGTGTAAGCACTGTGGGCTTAGAGGTCACTGTTGGACCACAAGATTATTATACATCTTCCACTTCAGCCCAAATCAAAGACACAGGCCCACTGGCCCATAATGACAACAACCCGGAAGACTCTATTAGTTAGTCATATTTATACTTGTAACATTGTTTTAGCAATAGTTATTCTTTTACACACATAACATTCTTTACCTTGTATATATATATAGTGGTAGGCTGTTTTGTAAAGTTTTCAGAGAACTCAGTTTATTTCTCTCAATAAAAATTCCCCTTTTGATCTCTCTCAGAACTAGGGTTCTGATTCGTTCTCTTCTCAAATTGCTTCGTTTACTTGATTGCAACATGGTATCAGAGCACGGAAATGGATAGATCGAACTGTCAACTACCGTCCGATGTTACCCTCGAAGGCTGGTTCTGATTTTTCTGTTCAATTCGTTGTGGTGGCCGGAAGCGGTTTTCTGCGGTGTTTTCCGGTGAAGTTTTCTTTTGTTTCCTACACGAGACTTTTGCTTCTTCGAGTTGCTGAAGAAGACCGACATTCTCCTTTAATTTTGCATTTTCATCTGCTGTATGCCCTAATTTTCTATAAATCCTATTTTCAACATGGTGAACATCAACTCCTCCACTTCTGTTGCGACTGATTCTAATGCAAGTATTGTTGAACCTTCTCATCCACTATACCTTTATCCAACTAATAATCCTGGAACTGTTATTGTTGCTGATAGGTTAATGGAATGGGTTATGGCAGTTGGCGTCGAGGAATGTTGATTGGCGTATCATGTAAAAATAAGCTAGGAATAATAAATAGAACAATTAGCAAACCTAATTCTAATTCACCACTATTTGAGGCTTGGTGCCAATGCAATGATATGGTGATTGCTTGGATTTTGAATAGTTTAGAAGCTGAAATTCGAGAGAGTGTAATGTATACCGAGTCAGCTGCCAAACTATGGAAAGATATAGAAAAGCGTTATGGTCAACCTAATGGATCCAAAGTTTATCAAATTCGCAAATCTCTGTCTTCCATCTCTCAAGGAAACTCAAACATTGCTGCCTATTTCTCTAGAATCAAGAAATTATGGGACGAACTAGCCTACTCCATCACCTATCCTAATTGTGTGTGTGGGTGTAAAGAAGCATTTCAGAAATTGGAGGAGGATCAGAAATTGCACCAGTTTTTAATGGGGTTGAATAACACTTACACTATCATCAGGAGGAATATTCTAGCAATGAAACCTCTTCTAGACATTGATACTGCATATTCTATGCTACTCAATGATGAAAATCACTATGAGGCTCAATCTTCAGCACCTTCCTTTTCTTCTAAGACTGCCTCTTTCTCAACAAATGTTCAGAAATCATATCTTGGACCTGCTAATGCTGCAATGCAAAGGCCCTACCAGTAGAAGGTTGTTTTTGAATCCAAAAGGCCTAATTTGGTCTACAAGTATTGTAGAAAACCTAGCCACACCATAGAAAAATGCTACAAACTGCATGGCTACCCTAATGGTGTCCTCCTAACAGTTCAATGAAATAAATTCAAGAAGACTGCAGCTTATGCTCATGTATCAGATTCTCAGAGTGCAGTTACTCTTGATGCTCCTATACCTGATGGTCTTTCTGAGCAGTCTACCAACAATAATCATGGCTTTACAAAGGAGCAATATGAACATCTGCTGAACTTGTTTCATCAAACCAAGATCTCACCACAAGACACTACCATTTCTAGATCTGCCAATTTTGCAGGTTTGGTGCACTGTCTTGATGTTAGAAACTGTTGTGTTTTTACTTGCAATGTGTCTAGATTAGAAGGTGATCCTTGGATAATAGATTCTAGTGCAACAAATCATATGACACCTAACAAATCTCTCTTAATCAACCTGAAACCCCTAGTAATTCCTTACTTAGTGATCCTACCAAATGGTTATAGGGTTAAGGTGACTTGTTCAGGATCCTTACCTCTGTCTAGTCATATAATTCTACATTATGTCTTATTTGTGCCTTCTTTTCAATATAACCTGATTTCTTTACATCAACTTCTTTTACAATTGACTTATAGAGCTCTTTTTTCATCCTATGATTGTGTTTTACAGGGCCCTTCTCTGAAGAGGCTTCTGGTTCTTGGTAAAATCTCCAATGGGCTATACCTCTTCCAGGCTGATTCTTTCCTACCTTGCATTTCTGCTACTTCAGTTGGTGATGTTGTTTCTACTGTTTCTGTTACTTCAGTTACTTGTCCATATGATTCTATTTCCACAAACACTGTAAATACCATTGAAGCTAATAAAATTATTTCTACTGGTATGCAACCTGCTCCTCCTGCTTTTGATTTTGATATGTTTTGCCATCTCAGACTTGGTCATATGCCTTTTAATAAAATGAAATTAATTTCTCATATTAAAGATAAGTTGTCCAAGAAACAGTCTTTTGTTTGTAATATTTGCCCTATGGCCAAGAAGCAAAGGCTTTCTTTCCCTGATAGTTCTATTAAAACCACCAGCCCTTTTCAACTTGTTCATATAGATTTATGGGGCCCTTATCATACTCAAACCTACAATGATTTCAGATATTTTCTTACAATTGTAGATGATTTTTCAAGGGCCACTTGGACTCATTTACTTTCTACTAAGTCAAATGCCTTCACCCTTTTGAAATCCTTCATAATTTTTGTTCAAGATCAATTCAACTCTTCTATTAAGACACTTAGGTCTGACAATGCATTTGAGTTGGAGTCTAGTGCTGAAGCTGTTTCATTTTTTTCCTCCCAGGGTATTATACATCATACTTCTTGTCCACACACTCCACAAACAAAATGGAGTTGTGGAAAGGAAGCATAAACATTTGTTAAAGACTGCTAGATCTCTCTTGTTTTAATCTAAGTTGCCTCTCAAGTACTGGGGGGAGTGTCTTCTCACTGATACTTACCTTAAAACACCTTATGAATTATTGTATG